TGTATTCGGCCGACGGATAATTTGCACCACCACTACCATCTGGCGTTATATACGAATTTGTTCGTGATTGATAATATTTAGAATAATCTTGAGGCGGTGGTGGATAATTTGTCGGCGGCCAGGGGAGGTTTTGAATTGTCACCGGGTACTCATTCATCTTAAGAAAAGATGCTCGATTTTCTGCATTTTTCTCGCTGTTAAAACTCTCGACAACGGAACGGCTATATCGATCATTCATGTAGCTATCGTATATTTCGTCCGGTTGGTACACATCATCAGTTTCACGGTTTTCTTCACTTTCTGATGACATATTGGTGCCATAGCTTGCGCGACTATATTGACTGTCGCTATCCGATATCGTTTCCTCGATATGTTTATAATCTCTTGGCGCAAAAGATCTACTTCGTCGAATCTTTGTAGGGTGCGGTGGTGATAATTGTTTACTTATCACATACGAAGTTTGTGTAGATGTGATCTCCGTGGTAATAGTACCAAATGATTGTTGTGGAAACTTTTGATTCTTACTTTGGTGCTTGGTAGGCGTCATTGAGACGCCGTCTATCATGTCACTAGTAGAAAACTCGACTTTTCGTGTTTCCTGACGGGTGGTGGTCGTGGTGGTGGTGATTTGATGAGCGATGATAGAGTTTGACGAAGGTGCGCCGATCATGGCATTTGGATTGTGTTGACCATGAAATGTTGGATAAAAACTTTCATACTCTTTATTGGGTATGACAAATAACTTCACCTTTTCTATGTTATTTTCACTACTATAACGATTCGATTTTATCCATGGCACGCTAAGACTTCTTCTCACTTGTTTTTTCTTTTCACTCACAATCCATTCATAGTCATTCATCTGTTCTTTCTTCGGTTCAACCAACACCCACTCGTCCAATAGTCCTGTATCGCCATTGTTTACTTCTACCAAAAAATAAGGAAATTGTTCTATTATATACCAATCTTCCCAATCTTCGTTATCGATTGCGTCGCGATCGATGTTCTCCATTTTTATAGAAGAGCACGGGTTTTCGGACTTTGGGCGTCGCTTGACACACAGGAAACGAAATTTTCTCTCTTTTCCAATCGGTTTAGCGTTTTTACGCTTACAATTTTCACTTTCGTGCACTTCACCTTTATCTTTCTGGACCGTTACTGTTTCCGTTGGTGGTTCACTAAACCCAAGTTTCTCAAATTTACACCAAGTCATTGTGTTTCTCATTGAGCATCCAGAATCATTTCTTTCTAGCATATTATCACTTTCTCCACTTGCCGCATCTATATGGTCTTTCTCCTCGTGAATGGAAATTTCGCCTATGGACTCTAGCTTAGTGCTCCGTCTACGGTCAAAACTTTTGGTGTCGCTATTTGACTGTCGGTCATCATACTCGAACAATAGGTTTAATACTTCTTCCGACATGATACCATTTCCCTCATTTTTCGTTAATTCATCAAACTTCTGAGCAGTCTCCTTGGAGTCATCAGTAATTGTGTCCCTGCCTGAGAGACTACGAAGACTTGCGCGTCGCTTTAGTGTGTTTAATGAATCGATCATTTCGGGAAACATTTCGGCGATAGTTAACGACTTCCTATTACCATATGATTCACCGTCTTTCTCATCAAGTTTGACTGAGCTGAGCACTGATCGCGCGGCCCTTACTATAATTTGTTGTTTACTCAATCTCTCGTTGCTTTGAAGTTCCGTGGTTTCCGGCTGCATATCCTTATTCGGTCGAGCTATCATCTCCAGGTTGGCAACAGTGATATCCGCAAGTGGGTGGTAAAATATGAAGGCAGACTCGCAGGCTTGTTTACGAAATTTTACGTAGCCATCCAACAAGACTTCTAGACGTGGTGGCAATGTTGAGGAACACGCCTGTTCACGGAGGTAGGCCAGGAACAGATGAATACATGCATCCGACGATTTCAGCCAACCGTAA